GGTTAAGTGAGCATTAAATTATTGAGATTAAGCTTGATTCTAAAGGGCGCTTTACGTTTCCAAGACTGCCTTTTTGGAAACCAACTTTGCTATATTTTCATTTTCCAGAAACTTTACTGTCCAAATTAGCTTTGAAGCTTAGCTTCAGATTTAACACTCCAGAGTGTTTTTGGGTGTTTCTGACTCTAAAGTATACTCCCCACAAGCTCCATGCAAACAGATGCAAAGCGAACTTCCACCTTGTCTCCAAAGCATCTTTTCTTCCTGGTATTTCGTCGATATAGCCGCGAAATCTATGGTTAATGAATTGCCTTGACGAGCCTTAGAGAGAAAATACTCAACTATACGCATTTAAATGAGCACAGAATTTTATCTCGATGCGCAGATTATTTTCTCTTTTCTCCCTTGCGTGTAGTTACTAATAACCTGTAGCTTGACTAGAATGTATATTGATCAGAATTTTCATATGAAAATTTCGCATACAGTATAAATCTGACCACCCTTTACATTTATTGTCAATTCACCTTAGTCACACTTTCGCGTCTTCTTCTCTCCTTATATCAGCGACGCCAGCTCTGCATCTCCCATAGAGATGGCGGCGGAAATTCATCACTTCAAGCTGAGCCGACGTGATGCACTCCCATTAGGGATGTCACAGACCAGTACAGGCCCGGTTGGCAAGACCTCAATCGAGGCGGCTTATACTAATGGTGAGGCAAGTCAAGGGGACAGGTCTTTCGTCGGACTTTATTGTCTTAATCCGTTCCCAATTGAGCCATAACCAGCGGCTGGAAAAGAGAACCGACACCGTGGAATGGCTGGGTCCCGTTACCGGCTCAAAACGATGGTTTCTCGAGAGTCCAGCGCATGATTGTGGAGGGCACCCGGTAGCGTGTGGCCTTTTCACGAAGAAAATAATTTCAGGAAGAAAATGCGGGTTGAGATGAGCCTTCCGTTGCACGAGACGAGGGCAGAAAAAATAGATTTCGGGCAAGTTCCCGCCCCTTCACATGACAAGCAACTGACGACATGGGGATCCAAACTTGGTCGGAACAGATCAGGGCAACTGGATACTTGTAAGAGGCTGAGTGGGGGGTGGGTGTAGAAAGTTGAACAGAATGCTTCAGACAAGCCTGTTAATAATAAATAATTTATGTTTTTGTGATTGAATTTATTTTATTATATTGCCTAGGTCAATTTAAATATTCTGACTTAAAGTTACGAGTGAGAAGTGAGGAAATAGGAGGTGATTTTTGGATGTAGCTATGACTTTTTAGCATGTATTTGATGCATACTAGTTTATGCCGCTCAACTACACTCTGCGTACTACATTAGAAACACAGGTTTAGCCAGTCTTGTTTCGGCAAGATGTAATTATTTGTGAAACACCACGACAGTCTCCAGTTTTGCAGAGGTGTTAGATGGAAAAAGTGGCAATGTAGAGCCATAATTCAGTACATAGCAGGTCCTAAGAAGATTGAGCGCTATAGACTGCTGATACGAATGAGGAAATAATTTAGACTATTAGTCACAAAAATGAATAAGAACTTGATCTACATTAAGTTTCTTAAGGGCTGTTTAATAACTGGAAGTATAATTTTACCATGTTGAAAGTAACCTTGCCTCGTAATTATCAAGAATGAACTTTTCTGCAGTTTTGACCTCGCCCTATAAGGGTTAGCAACCAGAACAATTCTCGTCATGGTTACACATTAGCACTTGATTACACAGTGACGGGTGCCAATGGGTGACAGGGCAGATGTGACTCTCAACTTTTATAGCGGAATTATCGGTAAATAAGTTTTTAATTCAATGACCTAGCTCAAAGCAAATTAGTATTAAAGGATACAATGGACTGGTGCAAGTCCCAAGTTGGAGAAACATCTGCTTTGAACAAACCAATTGGCGTTTAGAGTACGCAAATTCTTGTCTCGACATGAAACAAGGATACCGAGCTGTATCCTGCGTTACGACTCTGCTTCCATTCGCCAATTGTCAGCCTCAACTGTCCTGTTTGTCGTCTACCTTAATGGGGCTAGACTGCAAAAGCGTTTGAATCAGTGTCATCAAATTTACGATCCCAAACCCATTGTCGAAGCTATTGAGACCAAAGCGAGGCCAAAAATGCAGTCTGGTCTTGATGAGAACGAGAGCAAAAATGGTGAGCCACTCCAGCCCTCGCAATGGGTTGAACCGAGGATCAGCTGATACGTTAACAATAAATGATTTCCGCGATGTGAATGTAATCTTCTTCCTTCCGCTGTGGTCTCACGTACAAAGCAATGTGATCAGATCCTAATTCTTCACAAGGGCGCCAAGAATGAGTCAAGAAAAAAGTCCTGACCTGACGCGAACTTGTCAGGTTTTAATGACGACACATTAGAACATGATCTTTCGGAAGATACCGAAGGGTGTAAGATGGCCATTAGACCCATACATGAAACAGATGCAAAATGAAGGAAATAAAAAAGCATTCATTTCGGAGGTTAAACGCTCTATTTAGTATCGTCGATAAAGTCTTTCCGCAGAGCGGCTGAGGGCCATAATTCTGCAATAATGCTAGTTGCGTTCGAATTGAAAAAAGTCACAAGCTATGAAGCATTCTGAACATTTTGTCATTTTTCACATGAACGTTATTATATATTTATGCCCAGTCAGGAAGTCCCAGCTCTCCTGCTTTAAATAGTAGGCCGGGATGCTGATACAGTTGTGACGAATGGATTATTGAAATCACAATCCGTCTACTGAATTTTGTTAGTAGTACAATCTAAAGAAAGTATATTTTTTTATTGAGGCATAAATACATATATATATAGAGAGAGAGAGTCACATTCTGGTGCCAAGTGTCAAATCTAGTCGCGGAAATAAATATACTTGGTTTAATGGAACTGAAGTCAATCTTTGAGAACATGATTATTCATCAGCACAAATTTCCTCTTTTTCGGACAGAATTCCTAATAATTGAGGTTAATTAATAACAGAATGTTTGACAACAATCAAGAGTACAAGTGTTGTGAATGCACATCATTTTAGATCATTATATTAAGATTATTGTAAATCTGTTCACTAGGCCTTGAAGAGAGATGTTTATTATTTTGTTGCAAGTTTCATTTAGCCTCTTCCACTAAAGTACTGACTTCCTCTCATCGCCTTATCGGCCCCAAAAACGGAATTTTAGCCTAAGACGGTTGAATTTTGCATTGCTTTGTAAATAAATGGGACTTTGATTCTGATGAAATTATTCTTCAAACTCCCATGCGTCTTGATACTGCCCCATATGATGGATTTTAGGGAGATTATAAATACACGAACTGGGTCAAAGAAGCCAGGAACGTCAGAAATACGGTCCCGATTTTCGGATCTCTAGCGGACAAGTTACTTATATACAAAAATTGAGTTCCTCCTGCTACTGTGAATGGGTTGTGAAGTTTATGTTGATCATCCCTGAGCAGAATAATTAAAATGCATCACTTCTAATCAAATCACTTAGCTTTAGGATGATATATCGATGTTTGGATCTCATGAAGGGTTAGCCCTCACTTGAGACTGGTACTGAGCCCCAAAAAAATAAATTTAACTGTTTCAAGTGAATCTACTTAACTTGTTCTAAAAGTTTATTTCGTGCCTAGATGCTGTGAAAGGATGGCCTTATTTTATTCAGTCCGAATGCCATGACTCTAAACTCATCCGAGAATAACATAGAAGGTCCTGAAGATCTGCTGGCTGTCATTTTTAGGCCAGTTAAATTAAAAAAGCTAATACTTAAAGATCTGATGTATAGTTTTCTGCTTTTATCCCGTAGTGATCGAGAAGCGAGTTCCCGACTTGGATGGACCCATCAGTTCTACTGTAAAAATGAAACTGCTAGAGGGTCTGGATCACCATTTGGGGGCTAACATTCCGAATGTGAGATGTATTCACCCTATTTCTTTTAAGGTGATGAAGAACTGGTAGTAGAATTCTCCCACAATGATATGAGTAGAACTGACGTTTCCATTGAATTTCACATAGTCTTACTTTCCCAAAAGTTGATCTCATCCAGAGTGGACTGCAGTTTTGACCTCGCATCGGTCTTATCAACCAGTCCTTCATCACATTAAACGAAATTGGGTGAATACATCTCATATTACTGATCTACTGGTAGTCTCGAAAATCTACTCAAATACAAAAGATAAGCTTCCGAATGTTGACTGGTTCTTGTGGGCTCATCATTTTTTCAGATAAAGATTGTGGCACGGATGAAGATGTTGGGGCTCTTCATTAAGCTCCGTCATTAGAGTCTGTGATGTCAAAAATATATGTGAATGTATTAAATGGGAGTTACTCCGCAAGAGTGAAAAATTTGTCTATAATTATCTTTCACTTCTTTTAAAAACAGGTTAAATTAAAAAATCCACTAACATTGACAAACATTTTAGGATTTATTCCTGACAAGGGACTTGCTTGAGTCATAACTTTAGCTGGATCTTTTGCCCATAAATTCGTAATATTTATGAGGACCATCAGCAATACAAGCAACTATATTTCTTGAAAAAAATTAAGTACAGCCTCATGGGCTGCCTTAATTTTAAATCCGTCTCGTGACATTCTGAAGCCCTCATAAATTTGGCAGGAGGTAACTATTTTCCACTTCTCCCGTAATCATTACAAATGATGCAACTTACAGCGTCATAGATCCTTGTAGAAACTTATTCGAGTTTCAATGAGCTTTCACCGAGGCCTCCTTATCAAGCATAACAAAATGGTGTTTTATACTGGTCCATCAAGCGTCAATTCCGCTTTTTAAGTATATATGTCATCTACAAAGAAAGACATATTTCACTAATGAGTTGTAGAGGGAACTAGGCTTAATATCTTTAAATGTTTTGCTGATGGATATTCGAACTAGCCGCTTGCCACAGACTCGCACATGGTCCGAGAATGGTAGAATATTGCGTCTGTCTTTACTTGCTTGTAGGTAGACCCCGAAAAAGCTTCATCAAGCTTTGCAGCGTTAACCGGTGAGTATAAAAGTTGCCTCTGCGGAATTTTGATAGAAATAATGGGACAGCAAATATCTCACTTTCGTCATCATTCCGTTTCTATGGAATATATATATATATATATATATGTAATTGTTATACCCGAACAAAACAGCAAATACACTTTTGTCACACTGTTTCTCTGAGGGACTAAAAAAGAACACACTATCTCTTCCTTTGCTAGTCAGTCCAATACTATATTTATTATTACAAGCAAGTGAATGCATTAGATGACACATGGCTAAAATCCCTTTGTAATAGAATAATAATAAGGTAAAGGATATACAAAATATTTCATTATTCTCAGCTCGACTCTCTTAAGGAATACGTTCATGGGTGGGTTGGGCAACAATGAAGATACTACAGAGGGATTAGAATGAGAGGTTATAAACTTGGAAAATATATAATGGCAAGTTTCATTTGGCATGAAAGTCAATGAATAACCAACAAGTCTATAGTGTTTGATACTATGCATGAGGTTTCGGCTATTCAACTGTAATAAATAAAGTCAGCAAACCTTTATTTTTCAGATAACTTGAAGCATTGATAGGTTCAAAATGAGGAGACGATTCTGTATCGTAAATGACTATAAATGCAAACTGTTCCACCAGAAAATAACAATAGAATTTAACTGAAAATGTGATATCTCTTTTAATTTTTATTGGGCATATCCCCTAGCAAGTCTCTGAATTTCAAATAACCTGATATCGCTTTGAGAAAATGGAGCTAAAATTAAAGTAATTGTTGGGTGAAGAGATTCGAGGGTCGGTTCTACCAGAAGACGACGACGGATTCCTGTTGACCAGCTGTCGATTGGCTTTACTGGAAGATTCATGCTGACACTGTTTCC